ACACACACACACACACACACACACACACACACACACACACCATGCATACCAATTTTATATTTACATCATTCCTTTCGAAACTGATTTCTTTCGCAACTATCTGTTACTATAAATCACGTTGGATTTGGTCACTTGATGTAGTACCGAAAACATTTTCACGTGACTTCGGTTGACAAAATTATTGACAAAACGATTTACGGTTCATTAAATTCGCCAAGTCTGTCTACTGATTATCTAATTCTGTGCCTGTTTTACGCACGATACTAATTTAAGTCTGATTTGAGAAACTCAGTCTGAATTGGAAAACTATCATTTTTGAATTGAAAATGAAACTCCGTGGTTGGATCCACTTCCGTTAGGAACACCTCCTCCCTTGTTAATCTCCCATGTGTCTCTTTGTTGGCTGTTTTCCCTTTTCTTCTTGAAGATTGTATCATTGTATCATTATTACACAAAAAAGTAAATTGAAATGAAAAGAAACAAATCGTGGTCATCTTCCGGTTTGAATGGTGTCGAGCTGGTTGACGGACATCGATTCGGTCGATCAGTGAGACCATTCGACTTTGTCCAGACAGCTAATCAGGGCCCAACTCGATAAGCACACTGGTCCCCGGAGCCCGACAGTTTAGATAAAGTTGGGCGTTGGTACTGGAGCATGGACGTCAGCTCAAAAATCACGGTAACTACAACCGGAACAAGTTCAATGCTCACCGTGTAGTCCGAACAACACACTTCTCCTCGAGTGAATGATGGGCTTGTTCGAAAAACAAAATTTGTTGGGGCCTCGAGTCAGAGTTATCCGGGACGAGCTTTAGTACCTAGGCTATATTTTTCGTCAGTGGCCTAGCGGTCACGAACAATTGTGTCAGAACTGTAGCTCGCTGATTCCCGCCTCTTCAATGGTCAGTAGAAGAGTGAACGAAACAGAACCCAATTGATTCATTTGATGAGATGCTTCTGAAAAGCTAAAAGCGGAAACCCCTTTGAAAGAAGTAGTCTCATAAAGATCATTCACAAACAGGGAATAACACTGAGCGAAAAAGTAATGAACACTGTGGGGATACTAAGAATCAGGTGTCGGCAATTTTCCGGCAGAAATGCGAGAAATGCAATAATCGGAGTTCGCCAGAGGGGCTCCTTTTCTCACAACAAATAGGTCAGGATCGTTCGAAAAAATAAGGTCAAGCTGCGCGTTTCCTATTGTGGGGAAATTTACAAGATTGTGAAGAGAGAGAGAGAGACAAGTCAAGAAATGAATATCTGAATGGTTAAGATCACCACTAACGAGTAGTTAAAAAGCTCGGATACTAATGCATCAGCAAACGTCTGCACATCAAAAGTCGTACTCAAGGGTGTGATGTAGATAAATGTCTGATGCTACGATGGAACGGGATTTACATTCAACCGAAATACACGAGGTATATCCTACTTTGTAGGTGAATATACTATTTGTAGAATCACACGACTTTTTGTAGGTTATTACACCCACCGCCTCGATTTCCTACTAAACAGTTTCTATTCAACCGATGCACATCAAATAAATTCAGCTCAGGATGTAATTACGTTTCTTGCAGCATAATTATCCCCAATTCATGGTGCTTTTTCATCTTTATCAATTTCGTGAAGTCGCTCATTTTTTTGATGAGCAAATAGCAGGATTAGACATTTTCTGAGGTTTTGTGTTACGTGAAGCCACTGGCCAGCCTACTCGGTGTTTGCTGAGGAAACCTGACCTAGACGGTATGCATCTTTTGTATCTACTCTTAACTTGACAACTGAAGTGATAAAGAACGCTCCTCCTGTGCGATAACACATAATGTTTAAAACTCATTAACGATCCCGGGGCGGACGTAATCATGAAAGCGATGAAAGAAAATTGATTCAAACAATTAAATCCAATTGTGACGTAAACGATGATAAATTATCCACTGGAGCATAAATGTAGCACGGCCGAAAATTCGAAGACCCCGCCGTAATTGTCAAATATAACAATGAACGCGTGTCACGGCATTCCGGTAGACCTTACTGTCCTAGAGTGGTTTATTTTTTCATCTAGCGGTCCCGAGAATCCTATGAACTGAAGAGTCTCAGTTGGGATCTTATCGAGTCCCCAGTTCTTTGTGTAACTAAACCTATCTGTGTATTTGCAGAATATATAAGATATGCTAATCTAATTGCGTATCCACCGTGTCGCCAATAGCACACATTTGGCCGGATGAAACTCTTTCGTTGAACAATATGGTGGTGGTGGCTTGAATTTGCTTTCCATATTCTAATTTTCACTTCGCTCTTTTATCCATATGGGCAACCAAAAGACAGCAACCAAAACGGGCGCACGAAAGTGGGCATGGTTAATGGTTGTAAGAACTGAAGTGAACTGAACTGGTGGTGGTGGTGGTGGTGGTGGAGGAAGAGGAGGAGGAGGNNNNCATGGACTTTAAGACGGGGAGCATATCAATGACAGGGAGAGATGCCGATTGTCTCTGAGGCAGTACGGAAGACTGCGAAAGAGAGAGAGAGAGAGATGCGATTAAACTACCACTCACCTTCATTGCAATAGTGCCCGCATATTGCTGACTGATCGCATCCCCATTATTCGCCCAGATTCGTTGCATAGTCCGGATGAATGAGGCAGGCAAATGATCATCTGGACCGAGGATGCCGAATTTTTTCAACTGTTCACATGCATCCCGAGGAAAGGGAGCGCGGGGAGGGGAGGGGGTTGGCGTGCGAGGAAAGAAAAATCATGAAAGAGATTGTTTGAGTGTAAATGAAAACGCAAAGCGGATGATTCACATCGGGGCACATAAGTATGATATATATAAATATATACAGGTATTGACCAAACACATGCAACATCCTAATTTTCATCACAATTGTTCCTCTCAATGTTTTGTTTTTCCAGACTCATTCATCGGATTTAATATGATATTGCCTCATATTGAATGTAACATAACCCACTTATGTCTTTACCTCCATTAGACACATGCCATTAAAATGTACGATTTCACGATTTTGATGATGGTTGCTGACGCATCTGCTGTAAAATAACAAAGTCACTGTAGAAAACGTAACTAGAATTTATTTATTAAAATGACTCATAGACTACGTACAGTTATTGTACTTTCATCTCGTCCGTGTTCCATTTGCCCTTCTTCATTTTTGAGCACTGGAGACAGTCGCTTAAACATGGAGCCCACCAAGTTGATTGTCAAACAAAATTTCTCAGTTTCCTCTAATAAACCCCGCACCCTAACCATTGACGATCAATATCGAGGCAGCTGACTTATCCCTGTTTTCGATTAAATTAAAATTCCGGCTTCTACGCGGTATTTGAATGAATTTAACATTGAACTTGACCCTTCCAGAGACTGCATAGATGTAAAAAATAATATTTAATTAGGTCTCACCGTTACTTAATACCAACCTCAAGCGAGAAGATAAACCAACCTTCATCTGTGAAAAATATGACTTTTGGGAATCCGTTTAAAGAGCAGTAGTTACCGAAAATCTCCCTTATCAGTGCAAAACATTTTGTGATATCCAGAGGGTGTGTACAAGAGACTACTAACAAGGCACTCAGTATTTACTTCCGTCCTAACTCGTCAGGCGGGACGAATATTTACTTCTTTTGACAGGTTAAACGAAATTCATTAGAAGACTAGCTCAGCAGATCAGCTTTCAC